TCCCCCTTCTCCTCCTCCAAAAGAGAGGGGGCTCTGTGAGTTAACGGATCCTGTCCAGACTAACCTGACACTGTCCTCACAGGCTGAACAAAGTTAGCAAGCATTCTGTATTTGCTAACTAACTAAAAAGCACACGAGTAGCCTTAAGTTTGAACTGATTGCCCATATGTTTACTAATGTGCTGACAAGTTGGTCCCCACTGTGTTCCTTTACTTATTTGAGGTACTCGAGAAGATTCTTTCCTTGAACCCTGCAGCCCCTTCCCGTTTGTGTCCTGGTACCATTACTCTCCGAAAGAAATAACAAAGGACCAGTCAGCGATCAAGATTGTGAGCGAAACTGTAGAGGAATTTAGAAATGTTTTTCCTCTTCTAGAATTAGACATCTTGCTTTTAACGGAGGGGAGAGAGTCTGGATGTACCTGAATGCCTGGGTTGGGGGAAAGGCAGATTCATCGTAATGCCATCTTCTCCCCCTTCGTTGGCTCACAGAAACTAAGGAGCCAAGAGAAAGCAGGTTGCTGTTCTCCGTGAAGTGGTAGGAGTCGGAGAGGTGGCCCGGCCCGAAAACCCTAAACACAAGACAAGGACAATCAACACACGCCACAGAAAGTTGGATATTTTTTTTCACAATGTTTTCCAATACTTTTTAGAAATTATTTTTGAAAAAATTATCAGAATTTTCTCACGTATTAAGAAAAGATGAAAGGTTACGAACTATTTAGTGATCGATGGCTTTATTATATTACTTTTATTTCAGATGGCAGTCACCTCAAAACTGCATGTGGTTTTGCTGGGGACTTACACAAGAAGCCTATGAACATTATACCAGTTCTTGAGTTAATAACAAGATAGAGTTTAGGAAGATTTCAATATGAGATTCCCTAGGAAAGGAGAACTTGAAATACTTTCAGAGGAGTAGAACTTTGATTTTTGTCAGCAAGTCCGTACCTGAAGTTTGTTACCTGGCCTTTTTATATCAAGGGTTGTTCTGGCTCCCTCAGCACATCTCCTTGCTAGACAGACCTTATACTTAGAATTCATTTTCCTCCAGAATTTAAGGTGGCTGCCTTGCAGGGTTATGTAGGGGAGGACCACTTAGTCATTAGCTCTGAACAAAAAAAAAAGGGGAGGGGAGATTACAGGAAACAAGAGACTACAAGGAAATTATAACCATTTCTATGTTGCCGTTAACCAAACAAACAAGACTCCCTGGCATTCCCTTTAGTAAATTAAACAAATGTTAACTGCCAAACCATTTTAGAAGCCACTGCATTTGTCAAATGTGCTCTGCTTTTATTGCCTTTGCTGTTAGCTTCCAATATGCTTGGAAATAAAGTACTGGTTTAGCTCTTCCCAAACGCCTTTTGTGTTTGAAGACTACTCTTCTTAACAGAGATTTTTAAAAAATTAACATGTTTCTAACCAATTTGCAATGAAAAAAATGAACAAGCGTCAGAATATTAAGACTCGGATTTGGAAAGCACCTTTTTAGCAGCTCAGGGCTATAGTAAAGGAAGCACAGAACTCATGCTTTGTCATATGTGTGTGTTACTGAAATGACACTTTCAAGGACTTGGTGAGAAGGCAAAACCAGAAAAGACCACTGAAGAGCAAACGGTTAAAATACCATCTATACAAAAGAAAGCATACTCCCATAGTCAATATTGTCTCTTTATAGTTTAGTGTCCACCAAAAGAAATGTATCAAGGTCAAATAAAGACTCTTTTGCCGTGGGGGGGGGGGGA